TCTCCCTCTCCATTCCTCTCTGTAAAAAAGAAAAGAAAAGAAAAGAAATCAATAAAAAAAAAGAGATGGAGCAAATTTATTTAATCTCTTTACTATTATTATAGTTGTATAAGACAACTTTTGAAACGAAAAAAAGCCTACTCAGATTGGCCAGAGTCAGAGAGGCGGTCTATTGAAAAAAGAACTGGTGTTGCCTCGGAAGTGGGGGGTAGTCTTATACAGCGAATATAGGCCTAAACCTATGTTTTAACTGTAAAATTAGGGGGTCGTCTTATTCGCCAGAAAATATGGGTAGACATTCCTGGGGCCTCCAAACTTCTATTATAAACAAAACACTATTATAAAAATAAGTATGTTATGGCTTTCTTTTTTTTAAACCATATTTTGGGTTAGCCTCCAAGGGGAGGCAACCTGGTAAAAATACAGTATGTCTCTCCAAACAGAATATATTATGTTTCTTTAAGCCAATTTCATGACCCCAGAAATATCCAAAGTACCAGTTTTATCACATATTTTCGTTTTTAAAAACACTAAGGGAAAAATGGTAACTGGAAGCTTTAAGTTTCGTTTTTTAGATTACCAGAGCAAGTTTAAATGTCTTCCTATACGTTTGTTTGTTTCAGCTTACGCAATCCTCTTTTAAAAATCACCTTCCTCTGAGCTGCCTCATGTTTCTGAGACCCAGGTTCCTCGGGTATGAACAGCAGACCACACCACACACTGCAGATGATGAACGTGAAAATCAAACACGATCGTATCGTTCCCACGAAAAGCCGAGGAAGCCTGGCACAGACCAGTTGCTCAATTTTTAGCGAAATGAGTAAAAGTCAAAGAAGGAGTGGCCGGTTACGCAGAGCAACACAATGGCCAACAATAGCCACTCACATTCTAGAACCCACGTGACACTGTGGTAGGGGGAAAGGCAGCTTTCTTTAAAAAAAAAAAATATATATATATATATATATATATATATATATATATATATTTTTTTTTTTTTTAATTGATTTTCCAAAGAGAGAAAGAGAGAGGGCTAGACAGCTAGAAACGTCAATGAGAGAGAAACATCGACCAGCCACCTCTTGCACACCCCCCACCAGGGATGTGCCCGCAACCAAGGTACATGCCCTTGACCGGAATCGAACCTGGGACCTTTCAGTCCGCAGGCCGACGCTCTATCCACTGAGCCACACCGGTTTCGGCTGGGGCAGCTTTCTAGGCGACACCCAAAAGATGGAGCGTGTGGACTGAAAAACGAAGCCAATGCCGCTGTCTTCCCGTGAACACCTGCCCACCCTGAGACGGAGTGCCACGGGGTGGGAGGGAGCCAGCCTCCGGGCCTCGGTGAGGAAGCAGTTCCGCGGACAGCGCCCGGCCTGCCTCCCGCTGCCTCCCCCAACGCCGAGGTGCCCGGCAGGTTCGGATCCCTCCACACGGGGGTACGACTCCCTCAGCCTGTCCCGGCTCTTCTGTGGGCTGTCCCACCCCCTTCTCTTATCGGAGGGAAAACCATCCTCTGTGTGATCGAAAGGGCAGCTCCAGTGGAAAGCAGTGAACAGATGACACACTTTCTGCCTGACCAGGAGGCATCGTTACTATTTCCTTGGGAGGAATGGGTGCCGCAAAACAGCTGGGTTTATTTTATTATTATTTTTTAAATACATATTTTATTGATTTTTTTTGCAGAGAGGAAGGGAGAGGGCTAGAGAGTTAGAAACATCGATGAGAGAGAATCATCGACCAGCTGCCTCCTGCACACCCCCAACTGGGAATGTGCCCCCAACCAAGGTACATGCTCTTGGCCGGAATCGAACCGGGGACCCTTGGGTCCACAGGCCGACGCTCTATCCCCTGAGCCACACCGGTTAGGGCCAAACAGCTGGGTTTAGAACGCTAGGTCAAACGTACACGTTCAAGCAGCTCTGGAGGGGCCTTGCACAGGCCACACACTCGGCCCAGATGGAATCGCCTGCGGCTCTTGCTCCCAGACAGCTGGCCTGCAGCCGGACTGTGAACACGCCTCCTGCCTCAGAGCCCGTTCCGCTAGCACCAGTGCAGTGCCCGTGGTTGGGGGAGACCTGAGGAAACGGCCATGGGGGACACGCTGCCTCCCTTCCCAACCGGGACCGCCGTGGGCCTGAGGCCCGGGCCACCGTCTGCAGGCGGGGCCTCCCGAGGGGCGGGTTGCATCACCCGGGCAGGAGGCTGCACCGCGGTGTATCATTGACGCGGGACACAGATGGACAAACACCGGCCAGGCCCTGACAGGCGTCCAGAGAGCGGTCCTTGCTCCCCGCGCTGACACGGAGCCGGGGACGGGTGCGGGGCCGTGGTCTCTTATGAAACGGGTTCCGGGGGCTCGTCCCTGAGCGAGCCGGGCCCTGGGCATTAGGGAACCGGCTCCCAACAGGAAACCACAGAAACGATCCTGTAAAAATCAAAGCCCCAGTGGCCTGTCATAAGCACTCCCAGGAGCGGCTTTCTGCAAAGAAAACGTCAGTTCTCAAAAGTCAGCGTATGGCCCTGACCGGTGTGGCTCAGTGGATAGGGCGTCGGCCTGCAGACTGAAGGGTCCCAGGTTCGATTCCGGTCAAGGGCATGTACCTTGGTTGCGGGCACATCCCCAGTAGGAGGTGTGCAGGAGGCAGCTGATGGATGTTTCTCTCTCATCCATGTTTCTAACTCTCTATCCTTCTCCCTTCCTCTCTGTAAAAAAAAAATCAATAAAATATATATATTTTTTTTAAAAGTCAGCTGATGAAACCACTAAATGAAGAGCAGAAAGAAGGCCCTGGGGGCTCCGTTGGTTAGAGCGGCGTCCTGACACCCCAAGGCTGCAGGCTCCACCCCCGGTCAGGACACAGTGAGAACCAGCTGATGAATGCACACTGAAGTGGGACAACAAATCCATGTCTCCACCGCCCCCCCCCCCCCACTCTCCCTCCAAAAAGTCAACAAATAGTCGAAACCAGTTTGGCTCAGCGGTAGAGCATCGGTCTGTGGACTGAAAGGTCCCTGGTTCGATTCTGGTCAAGGGCATGTACATTGGTTTTGGGCTCATCCCCGGTGGGGTTGTGCAAGAAGCAGCTGGTCAACGTTTCTCTCTCATCGGCATTTCTTGAACTCTATCTCTCTCCCTTCCTCTCTGTAAAAAATCAATAAAATGATAAAAAACATTATAAACTGAAGAACCAAAAGACAGATATATCAATAGAGACAGTAAAGCAGCAAGCAGACTGTCAAATTACAGCGGGGAGGTTGGGGAGATCTGGGGGAGATAAGAGATCAACCAAAGGACTTGTATACATGCATATAAGTACAACCAATGGACACAAAACTCTGGGGAGCGAGGGTATGTACGGGAGGGGGGGGCATTGGTATATGTACAAAAATAATAATTTAATAAAAAATATATTAAAAATATATTAGAAAAATAAAAAGTCAACAAATAAAGCTTTAGAAAAAGAAACATAAAAGAGCAGCAATGATCTGATAATGACGAACACTACAGTGAGACTACCCTTTCCACGGCAGGGCCAAGCAAGTCCAATTTTTGAACCTTAAATGCACGGGGACAGCCAAGCTGCCGAATGACAATCTCCAGAGGCCTGGGCAGCTCAGAGCACGGTCACCGTGACCTGACATGGGGGTTCCCCGAATTCCCTGCGGACGGCGGAGGAGACAGCTCTGGGGCCGGGATGTTTCCCCATGCAAGAAGGAAGTTCTCCTAACACAGTGGTCGGCAAACTCATTAGTCCACAGAGCCAGACATCAACAGTACAACGACTGAAATTTTTTTTAAGAGCCAAATGTTTAAATCTTAAACTTCTTCTAACGCCAATTCTTCAAATAGACTCGCCCAGGCCGTGGTATTTTGTAGAAGACCCACACTCAAGGGGCCAAAGAGCCGCGTGTGGCTCATGAGCTGCAGTTTGCCGACCTCATTTCTAACCTTTCCAATGCTCAGTGTGGAAGTGTCTGCGACCAGGGGCCTCCATTGGAGATTCACAGCCGTCACGGCTGGCAGGGCCCCTGGGAATCCTTAGTCTGACCCTCTTCCTTTCACAGCAAAACACTGCGCCAGAGACGGGCCGAGGTCTCACCGTGATGGAGACAGACGGCCCGAGGAACCGGGAGAGAGGATGGGAGCCAGGCCCCTCCAGCCCCACCCTTAGGCTTCCCTGCACCCGCCTGTCCCCATTCAGCAGAGCCGCCCAAGGAACCAAGAACACGTGTGCCCCCTGGAGAAAACCACCCAGCACTTTCTGTGTCCCAGACACCACCTGTCCTGCTCAGACAGCCTGGGCCCCAGCACTCAGCGCCCCCTCCCCGGCCTCCCCACAGGGACCCACACAGCGCCCATAGCCTCCCAGCTCCCCAGGACACACGCCTTCCCTCCCCTCCCTTTTTCCGGTTCCCACGAGAACCAGGAGTGGTGATGGTGCCAACAGATTCCTCCTTGGGCCTTGACGGTCACAATGCAGCTGGTTTCGCCTGAAATGCAGAATTTCTGCTCCTGGGCGTGCGGCTTGTTTGGCCACATGAATGATTCCTCTGTGTAACATAATCTGTCATCACAATGCCCTCTACCGCATGTCCGTGTGTGCCCTGGTGCCCGGGACCGAGGGGCGAGTGGGTGTCACTCAGCTGTGGGCACTGGGTGCCGCTGTTGAGAAGGGGATCGGGACCCTCCAGCATCCTCCCATCGACTCAGCTTATGGGCCACATCTCTGCTCCAGAGCCGGGGGCCGCTCTGGATGAGACTCAAACTGATATTAGGAGGGAGAGGGCCTGCCTGCTACCCACGTCCCCGTGCCACACAAACTAAATCAAAGCCACCGCAATTGGATATGCTTCCCAACGTAGCCCACCGGTGCAAACAGCATCTTCGCAGAAACACAGTTTTAACATGCAAGGGCTATCTTGTTCCGTTTTGGCACGAAAACATTCAACTGCCTTTTTTTTCTTCTCTCTCCCAGTGCTGTGCCCAGGAAGTGGCTTACCTTCCAGCATCTTCTGCAGACTGTTCCTCATGACGTGGATGTTCTCTATCCCGATGAACTGGAACTTGATGTTGGAGTAGTTGTCCTCGTTCTCGTAGCCTTTCCCGGCAGCACGGTTCGCCATGGCGTTGAGCTGCAGCGGTCGGCAACACAGAACAGTCACCCCTAATATCCCGGACAGGAACCCGCCGGGGCCATCCTGAGCAGCATCCACAGTGTTTTACATCACGGGAACAGTGTACTGAGCTGTGTAGTTTCAGACATGCATGGTGAGCTCGTTCCTGACAACATACATGTGTCGACACGAGGAACACTTTCTGAGCTGGGAAGGGTTCTATGGATACACGTTCTATGGGTAAACTGCCTCTCACCGTTCCCTGTCACTGGTGCCAAAGCAAATAGGACGGAACCAGCCTGCCCTCATCTAGTACCAGACGTCAGACATTATAACCTGTGATCGGCGGAGGAGTCCCAGCAGACACGGGTGTCAGTGTGAGGCCTGCGGGTTACATGGTTACCTCCTCAGCCTCATGCTGCATGCCATCTAATAGGGATGGTTGCATCATTCTAATTCGCCTACAAGGATTGTCCAGATGGCCAAGTAAACCTCGAGCAGGAACCACTGGGTGCAATGAAAAGAATGGGCCTTCCTTGTCCTGGCTGCCGGCACTTCCTTCGCTCTGGCCAGAGCGCCTTTCCGCCTTCCATGCTGCCCAGAGGCCCCGAGCAGCTGGGGTGGTGCTGAACTCCCCGCTGCTAGGCATCTGGGTATGCAAATTAATCCGCCATCTTTGTTGGGTTAATTTGCATACTCGCTCCTGACTGGCTGGGGGGCGTTGTAAAGGTACAGTTTCCAATTTGGCAAAAGTTACAGAAGAAAAATAGAGGTTGCAAGTGATAGGGGGCCTGCCCGCCAGTCCCTATCCACATCGTCCCCAGGACTGTCTTCCTATGTGGACTAAATTATATTAAATTTCAATCTACCCTATATAATAATCCTATATAATACAAAGGTAATAAATATGCAAATAGAATGAACAACAGAACTGAACAATCAGAGTAATATGCTAATGATATGCAAGGCTGCTCAACTGCTCGCTCTGATGTGCACTGATCACCAGGGGGCAGATCTCCTATCGGTAGGTTAGCTTGCTGGTGGAGTCCAGCCGATGAGGACTGAGCAAGATGGGCCAGACATCCTCTGAGCCCTCCCGTAGTCCCTCCCCAGCTCCATCGTGCACCGGTGGGGTCCTTCAGCCTGACCTGTGCCCTCTCGCAATCCGGGACCCCTTGGGGGATGTTGGAGAGCCAGTTTCAGCCAGATCCCACAGGCCACGCCCCTAAGGAGGGCGCCAGACGCAGGGCTCGTGGCTGGTGAGAGCTGCTGTGGCAGCCTGAGCCTCTCCGGATGGGGAACGATTGGGTGGGAGCTACAGGCAGCATTGAACTGTGGGTTTCGGCCCGATCCCTGCAGGCCACCCAGAGGGACCCCACCTTGCACAAATTCGTGCACCAAGTTTCTAGTAGTGAAATAGTCCTAAAAATAATTTCCTGTTTCAGTGGGAAAAAAAAATATATCAATACTACCTCAGGGGCTCCTGTAGTCCTTGTTACAAAGAAGCTACATGAAGTTCGCAATTTAAATAACAGAAGCCAAGTGTTTTAGAAGCGAAGTGTAAACCGGCCACAGATGCATCCCATTTCCACAGGGACCCTGCTCCGTGATGTCGCTCATGTGACATCAGCTGGGCCATGTGGGCCCCTCAGACCCCCTCTTCCAATGCACTCAAGATTTTCACCTTTCTCCCCGGCAGGCTATAGGAATAAAGGCTTTGGACTTAATCTAGAAAAATTTTTTTAAAAAATAATGTTATTTTTAAGACTACGTACGTTCATGCTTTAAAATGTTTGCATACTTTAAGGGGGAACGTTTCTTTATATAATTATTTTTCAAAGCCACTGGCTTGTCCTTTACAGCGAGCTTCCTAAAATAAAATGATTCCCAGGGTCATGGTGAGTGACCTGCTACCTGAACCCTAGGGTTATTCTCTAGCTGGAATAATTCAAGAATACCTGCTCAGAGGTACTCCTCGTAAACAGTGCAGTGAATAAATTCAAAATGCTTTTATAGTTATTATTATTATAACCTATAATTAGGAGTCTGTTCACATTTTTACGTAGTTGATTGCCTAAAACCTGGGAGAGCTTATCGGTAGCCTTCTTTTAGAAGCAAAGAAGCAACACAAGGTGGCCTCTTGAAAGTCAATGGCACTTCTCACAGTGAACAGGAGGTGGCACTATTTAGCCTCCCACCCAAAGCGTACTTTCTCAAGGTTTCTACATATTTCACGGGACCTAATATGATAAATGTGGCAACAGTGGAACCCTCAAAGCAGGAAATACAGTTTTAAAAGTAATAAAAAATTCAAGAAGCTATCCCTGGACCACTGGACCAACTATGCATATAATTTATGTAATTATATAGAATATGTATTCAGATAAAATGTCCCTAATATAACAAAACACTATTAGTCAATCTAATGTGTTCTCCCATCTCTTTGGGTAAAAACTTCATTTCAGCTCGTGCTCTCTCTCTCTCTCCCTCTCTTTTTTCCTTCCTCTCTCTCTCTCTCTCTCTCTCTCTTTCTCGCTCTCGCTCTCGCTCTTGCTCTTCTCTGTCTTCTCTCCCTCTCCCTCCCTTTCACTCCAAAAACAAATAGAATACATATCCTCCAGTGAGGATTTAAACACACACACACACACACACACAAAGGAAAACCTACTTATTTCAGCTCCTAAAAATCCCCAAGTAGATAAAACAAGGAAGGTAACTACATTCCAGTTTCAATTTACGCTTAAGAAACACGGCGGACAAATGAGAAGTGGAACTGGAAAGAGGTCCCGTTTCTAACCTAAAGTCACCCGGCTGTTGGATCATCTCAGCATCTTTACATTCAGCAGGGCTCCTCGGTGAAACAAAAGGAGCCTACTCCTTCCTCAGCGAGCACTTAGTGAGCGCCCACTGTGTGCCAGGCAGTGAGCACCATGAAAAGATGAGCAAGACGCTGTCCTACCGCCATCACTGAGCGGGAGGGAAGCTCATAGCACCTCGTGGCAGGGCTGGGTGGGAGCTCAGTGACTGGAGGCGGAGGCAGCAGGAGCTCACGTCGGGAGCAGCCCCAAGCGGCCCACGGGACCAGGGGGGATGTTTCATGAAAGAAGGAAGACTGGAGACGGACGGTGATAATCTGGAAGGATGGAGAGAAAGGGATGGGCGACAGGAGGTGGGGAGTGAAAACCAAAGGAGCAGGTGGGTATCGGGAGCCCACCCGTGGCAGCGAGGTGGCAGCGAAGTGGGAGGTGCATGTGCGGCGGCAACAGCAAGGGAAGAAGCCGGAAAATCTTTGGAGAGCCTGGCAAACAGGCCGATGGAGATGCTCAGACTTGATCTGTGGCCCTGGAGAGCCACGGAAGGCTTCTAAGCAGGTTTAATGGGAGAAACTGCGAGGTAGTGGCCATGACACCGAGACACCCTGGAATTGGCAGGGGTGGCGGGGGAGGGCACAAGTTCCGGGAGCTGTGGGCCTTTTCTATGTCCTCACCTGGCACAGGACAGGCCCTCGGTGAGGAGCTAATGACTGGCTCGTCCCCCAAGTAAATATCAATTAGCGGGATGACACTGGCAGGTGAGCAGTCTGAACATGGAAAGAAAAAGAACCCGGTTCTTCCCCTCGCCCATCGAGCACAGCAAAACCATAAAAGCTTCGTCTACGCTCGTCTTGCGATCGAGTTAAAGGTCAGCCTGGCCGCTGCCTTAGCTCCGAGGCTCAGGTTTCAGCCGAGCACATTCGACACCAGAATCCTAACGGGAGCCGGGCCCCTGCGGTTGGGAATGGAGAAGAGACGTTGACCTTGGCAGGAGGATTGGGCCGCGTCCCAGCACGGGGTGTCCAATGATTGTCCTCTCTGCCTCCCTCCGTCTCTGCTGAGATAAAGAGCCTTCCATTGTCTGATAAACATGAAAACACGGGATGCGTGTCCCTCCTGCAGCTACTGTCCATCATGGCGCTACTGGCCTCCCCCCTTCTCACCCGAAGGACACCCTCGCAGAGTGAAGAGCTTTCGAATGACACTCAGATAGGAAACCTCGGTCCAAGTCCACTGAGAACTCCCATCCCATACGTGACGCACAACGATCTGCCCCTCGTGATGGGCCATTTGGACGGGGGAGGGCACTGCCTGGTGCCTTTTCTTCTTCCTTCCACGGCTCGGCCTCGGGAAGGGGGCTGTGGAGGAGTGATAAGAGGTAAACATGTCTATAAAGCTGGACAAGGCTGCAATTCTCTCTCCGGTGGTAGTCACTGCTTTCCTGGTTAACACTTACCGACCATCACTGCCCTCCTGGCCTAAGAGGCTAAGGGCTGAGTCTCCTAGAGCAGTGGACGGCAAACTCATTCGTCCACGGAGCCAAGTATCAACAGTACAACGATTGAAATTTCTTTTGAGACGCATGTAAGTATAACCAATGGACACAAAACTCTGGGGAGGGAGGGCCTGTATGGGAGTGGAGGGGCAATGGTAAGATATGTATATATATAATTTTTTTTTTTAAACACCTATTACAGCTAAAAAAAAAAAAAAAATTCAGCAGCAAAATTGCAACATCAAAAAAAAAAAGTTTCTTTTGAGAGCCAAATTTTTTAAACTTAAACTTCTTCTAACGCCACTTCTTCAAAATAGACTCGCCCAGGCCGTGGTATTTTGTGGAAGAGCCACACTCAAAAGGGGCCAAAGAGCCGCATGTGGCTCGTGAGCCGCAGTTTGCTGACCCCGGAACTAGGGCATGTTTATTTATGTGGAAGCCTGGGGTAGGAGGCGAACAGTTTGCTAACACGGAGACCCACACGGACCTGAGTTCACTCTGGCATCCCACTTGCCACTGCCCACCCGCCGTCACAGACAGGGACTCAGTCCCTGTGCTGCTGAGGACGACACCCTGAACCGAGACCGACAGACATGGTCTTGGAAAGCATGACAGCTCTCAGCGATCAGTGTAAGCCTCACGTGGAGCATGTGGGTGAACATGCTGAGAGGGCACCCCTGGCAGTGACACCAACTTTCTCTACTAATGGATCGGCATGAGACATCTCATCGGGGAGAGTAAACACACTCGGTGCTAAATATACCCTTCCAATCAGATCCTTTGGATTAATTTGTTTTAAATCTGGCCTGTGCCCAGCTCACCAGCTGCCACATTTCCCGGGAGATTTACAGAGCACGGTATATATACTTGGCTCACCGGCCCTTAAGTGAGGAGGCAAGTCTGTTTGCCTTTAGTTAAACCTGGGGAGACAGCCCAGGAGAAGGGCACCCCGATTCTGCCCAGCCCCCCGTCTTTCCTTCCTTTTCTGTCCCGTCTTCAGTGTACGTGACTGAGAAGCAGACATCCATGGAGTCTCTCCTGACCCTGACCGTTAGGGAGAGCAGACCAGTCTGGCTGCTGAGGCTCAGGGGTTGAGCACCGACCTATGAGCCAGGAGGTCACGGTTCGATTCCCGGTCAGGGCACATGCATGTGCCTGGGTTGCGGGTTCGATCCCCGGGAGGGGGTGTGCAGGAGGCAGCCGATCAATGATTCTCATTGTTGATGTTCTGTCTCTCTCTTCCTCTCTGAAATCAATAGAATATATAGACACACATAGCTAAAAGCATAGTTGTACTTGTCCTTCACAAAAGGCACAGCGAAGGGGAGGGAAGGCAGTCCAGCTGAGAAAGAAGGGGCAGAGCACATCTCGGACGAGGACAGCAGGTCAGAGAGTTTCTGGCATCGTTAGGTGAAAGAGAGTTTCTGGCAGAGGAAGTGTCCCCCCGCCTACTCCAGCCCTCCCGTCTGAAGCTCGTCTACACGTAGTGCTCTGAGGGTGTATCTGAGAAGGAGGAACCCTTCTGCATCCTCTGCTGGGACGGGGTCTGGCTGGGACACCCGTCTTACACCGGGGCACCCTCTCTGCTCCGCACACCCGCCCTGCAGCCGCACTCCCACCAGAAACGCAAGGGTGTGCGTGTGGCACCGGCCTCACACCGGGAACACGTCCAGTGGAGCGACCCAGACCACGAGGCACAGCTCTGATGAAGTGGGACTCAGGGGAGCACTGAGAAGGGCCAGGGTCTACTGTCTACGCACTAGACAGTGTCCACGTCTCATAATTTCTCACATCACCCAGAGAACAGACTGTGCCTGCAACGACCTGTTCTCAACACCCGTACAGAGTTTGGTTAATAAACGTCTACAGGTTTCAGGTGCACGATTCTATCACTCATCATCTGTGTACTGTGCTGTGTGTTCAGCACCCCAGGCCACGTCTTCTTCCATCAGCTTTATTCTCTCTTCACCCTCTTCTGCCTCCCTCCGCCCCTTCCCCTCTGACAATCACCATACTGTTTGTCTCTGTGAGTGTGTATGTGTGTGTGTGTATGTGTGTGTGTATGAGTGTGTGTGTGTGTATGAGTGTGTGTGTGTATGTGTGTATGAGTGTGTGTGTGTATGTGTGTGTGTGTGTATGGTATATGAGTGTCTCTGTGTGTGTATGTGTGTGTGTGTGTGTGTATGAGTGTGTGTGTATATGTGTGTGTGTGTATGGTGTATGAGTGTCTGTGTGTGTGTGTGTATGTGTGTGTATGTGTGTGTGTATGTGTGTGTATGTGTGTGTGTATGAGTGTGTGTGTATGGTGTATGAGTGTCTCTGTGTGTGTGTATGTGTGTGTGTGTGTATGTGTGTGTGTATGTATGAGTGTGTGTGTATGTATGTGTGTATGAGTGTGTGTGTATATGTGTGTGTGTGTATGGTGTATGAGTGTCTGTGTGTGTGTGTGTGTGTGTATGTGTGTGTGTATGAGTGTGTGTGTATGTGTGTATGAGTGTGTGTGTATGAGTGTCTGTGTGTGTGTGTATGTGTGTGTGTGTATGTGTGTATGAGTGTCTGTGTGTGTGTATGTGTGTGTGTATGTGTGTGTGTGTGTGTGTGTGTGTGTATGTGTGCGTGCGGGGATGGGGGGGGTGCTTTATCCCTTCACCTAGAAATTTCAGGAGCGTGATCTGTAACATTAAACAACACAGATGTGGTGCGTGCACTGTGTGCCCAGCACAAGGGGGAGTATCAGAGCAGGAGCCTAGGAGCCCGGGCAGCAGCCTGCAGAGCAGAGCAGCGGGGTGCTGACTGTGCAAAGGGAGGAGCAATCTCGGCGGGGAAGGCAGCCCATCGCTCTGCCCGGGTCCAGTCCCCGACTCAGAGCTGCAAAGGCGCGCGTCCGAACGGCCAGGCGGGACACTTACTTTGGGCCGCGTGTCCACGACGTAAACGAAGTCGCTCCCCGGGTTGGCTTTCCTGATGGCCTGGAGCATCTGCTCGTCTTCCAGGCACCGGGCGCTGAAGCCGGACAGGGGCTGGCTGCTCCGGCAGATGGAGGCCTGCGGGGAGGGCCACACAGCAGCATCAGACAAGTGTGCAACGGATGGACGGACACCACCGAGACCTGTGGGCGGGCTGCCTGACAAGGCGCCCCCGGCTCACGTTTGCCCCCGCCGTGGCTGGCCGTGCATCAGTTTCTGTGGGAAATCAGAATGTGTACCGATGCTGGGATGGGATCCTAAGGAGGGTATTGAAAGCCATTTCAACAACCTTTCATTTTCCTGCTGAAGCAGAAATAGAAAACAAACACCTCTGCCCCTACAATGTATAAGGTCCTGCTCATAGCAAGACTAGTCCTACCTCCTAAAGAGGGGAATATGCTAATTGACCATCACTCCGTCACAAAGATGGCTACACCCACAGCTGAAGCCAAGTTCCTTCAAGGAGCCTTAAGGAGCAATCAGCAGGGACCTGAGGCTACATCCTCCCCCACCCCCATGGGGCTTGACAAGGGTGGGGCAGGCCAGGTCTGGATCTAGCTCCATGGAGGCAGGGACCAGCTACCGTATTTTCCGGCGTATAAGACAACCTTTGAAACGAAAAAAAGTCAACCGAAAATCGGGGGCAAAAGACCAAAATTGCACAAAAATTACCTGCAGATCTTGATGGCAAAGTAAGTCTTTTCTTTGAAGTGGGGGGGTAGTCTTATCCAGCGAATATAGGCCTAAACCTATGTTTTAACTGTAAAATTAGGGGGTCGTCTTATACACTGGAAAATACTGTAGGTCTGGGTCTCAAGTGATTCTGAGGCACATTGTGGGTGGGCGGGGACTTGACTCTGGGTCCCGTGGTGCGCCCCAGACTCTGACAAGAGAAAGGTTTTCATATCCATTTTATTAATTTCCTTTTCATCTCTGACACTTCTGTTATAGAGAAAGGGCAAATAGCAATATTAAACTATTTCCTCTAATTAAGCTCCCTTTAATGCGCACAAATTTCGTGCACCGGGCCACTGGTAACAAATATTTTAAAATGCCTGCCATCGTGTTTTACTGGCCCATTTAGAAACATCACAAACACTCAAGATCACGTCTAATCCTGAACGAGAGACTTCTGAGTGTGAGGTGAGTCCTGGCTTCCCCTGGCGTGGGCACCTACGGGCAGCAGGCACACATCCAGGCTCACCCAGGAGGGATGGAAGCAAGGGGCTCCTTTGGGCTCAACTGCCTTCTATTCTGCAACCTTCCTAGTCTTTGATTCCAACAGAGCATGTTGTGTTGTTCCATAATATGTGTAACAGCACGCACATTTCCGTGGTATTCACAGGCAAGTACAGGTACAGCCTCACAGCTAAAGAACTTAGTTTTTGTGGCCACGTTCCTTTTATGCATTATATTTTAGCCGAAACCAGTTTGTCTCAGTGGATAGAGCGTCAGCCTGCGGATTGAAGGGTCCCGGGTTCGATACCGGTCAAGGGCATGAACCTTAGTTGTGGGCACATCCCCAGTAGGGGGCATGCAGGAGGCAGCTGATCAATGACTCTCGCTCATCAATGTTTCTAACTCTCTATCTCTCTCCCTTCCTCTCTGTAAAAAATCAATAAAATATATTTTAAAAAAAAAGAGAGATTATATTTTAATATTTAAGCTGGAGACACCAAGTACAACCAATATAGAAATGACTCAAATCCTCTACCCGGAGGGTGTGAGCCCCTGGGTGTGAGGATGGAGGCATGGGGCCCGTGGGAGCCGGTAACCGAGAACAGCCCCGGTGCAGCCCGCTCGGGGTGCCTCGCCACGGGCTCTCCAGGAAGAGGCATCCGGCTCTGAGCCAGGCACGGCTTAACTGTCCCTGAGCTCAGCCCAGGGGGAGTCAGCTAGGGTTTCAGTTTCCCCATAAAACGGGGAGCTTGGCACTCCTCTGCGGGAGGGCGGTGCTCCTCACTGACTCTGCCATCCTCTGTCGCACCGTGGCAGGCCCCGCCGTGCAGAGCCACCAGGCACGTAGCCGGCGGCTGTCTCAGGCTGGGCGCCTCTGCAGCCGAGCGGAGCCGAGGTGGCCCCAGGAACTCCGGGCCTGCCGCCAGGAGGGCAGGGTGGGAAGGAGAGCGAAAGGCCGGCTGATGGCTCCAGCTTAAAATTTTATTTTTCCTCTGCAGCCAAATAATGTCTTTAGTGGATGCTGTTAAGGATACGGTTGCTGTGGAAACACAGGGTCTCGACTCTCCAGGTTGGGATGCCACACCTGAACCGTGCATTTTCCTACAAGCTGCCGGAGGACTGGGGGTGCTGGGAGGAGAGATCGCCAGCTTGGGGGAGGTCGAGGGAGAGGGGGAACTGAGGGAGGAACCAAAGGGGTGGGAGGGCAGGTACGTCCAATGGGGGAAAGGCAGTCCCCACTCCTGGCCCGCACGGAGGGAGCCTGTCTCAGGCTGTTTCTCCCACCATCAGGGTCAGGCTCTGCCCTGCTCGGGGGAAGCTGACTGCACAGAGCACCTCTGAGCTGCCACTACCCGGTACCTGATCTGGGCTACAGAGTGAAGGACAGCTGCCACCGGCAGTTTCTTAGGTTCTCGCAGGGGAGTGTGCGGGGAGGGAAACATTTAAATGGTGAGAATTTGTCCGAGGATGCACACGCCGCACTGAAGAAGAGCACAGGAGGGCACCCGGGCGCCCGGGGAGCCGTGGGGTCTAGGGAGGCAGGGGAAGCCGGGCTCTGGAGTTTGTGAACAATTCGATCCTATTCCGAGGCGTTCCGCACTTGCCTTTTATAGTGCTCACCCTTTCCCAAGAACCTCAGAACAGAAAAATAAAAAGCAGTCAGACAACACTATGCTCACATTTTAAATACCCAGCGCATCCCTGCCTCCTCACAATAAAAGAATAAAAGAATAAAAGACCCCCTCTTGTTTCTCTATAAATGGATGCTACAACCCCCCCACACACAAAACAAACAAACAAACAAACAAAACCAGCCAAAACCGGTTTGGCTCAGTGGATAGAGCAGCGGCCTTCGGACTGCAAGGTCCCAGGTTCGATTCCAGTCAAGGGCATGTACTTTGATTGTGGGCACGTCCCCAGTAGGGGGTGTGCAAGAGGCAGCTGATGGATGTTTCTCTCTCATCGATGTTTCTAACTCTTTATCCCTTTCTCTTCCTCTCTGTGAAAAATCAATAAAATATATTACAAAAAACACACAAACAAACAACAACAACAAAAACCCACAGGTAAATGTTACTGGCATCCTAATTTCAAGTACAACATCATAAACTTCCCTATTCATGCCATCACTTTTTTTTTTTTTTTTTTTTTTTTTTTTTTTACAAAAAGGATTCACATTTTCCTTTGCCTCTCACCATTGCTCCAGTTCTGTAAAGGTTGAACTATATTTGGAGTGAAATAATAGGGACATTAATAAAACACTTGCCATTTTTAGACCCCAGTTCAGAGCAGTGAGTGTAACTAAAAATACGATCACTCATGGCCTTTCAGCTAACGGAGCTTACACCGCTCAGTGAGTGTTTTCCTTTAACGCGGGAGGCCGCTGCTCGCTCTGGGAATAGCTCGCAGTTGCTTTGCAAAAGCCTCCCTTTGGAACCTGATGGGCCTACCCTCCTCCCTGCCTGCAGGCGTATGCATATCATCCACACACTCACACACACACACACACACACACACACACACATACGCTGCAGCCGTCTACAGCAAGCACGTCACACGCAAAGGCTAACATGGGCCAAATACTAGCAAACGAGGCATGCGGCCCGCAGGGCGCGAGTTTGACACGCTTGGTCTGCAGCCGCCCTTGGCTCTGAACCCGCAGACATACTATCTAGCTGGAAAGCCCACCTTCTGCCCCTGGCTAAAGTCAGAGAGCTTCCAACGTGGGTGGCAAAGACCATTCTCGTCTTCCCAGGTTTGTTTTCTTGTCCTCCACAGAAATGGAACCACAGTGTTTAGCTGTTCACACTGTTACCCATAGGCTGTGTTTTCTCACCTGCTCCAGGCAGTTCTGACGCACGGAGGTGAGCAGAAGTGTCACGTGACCGTTTCAGAACCCTTCCCCCAGAAGCTGGTGATGACTGGTACTGAAGTCATCTCTTATACCCTTCCATGAGGCCAAGCCCCGGGGGGGTGGACCAGACAGGTGCAAGGGGCGTGGGTCCCTGACCCGTAAGTGGTGGAGAGCCACAACCTGAGGCCTGCACTGCTCGCCTTTGGAGTTTTAAGTGAGAAGGAATGAAGTTCCACCCTGTTTAAGCCACTGTCGCCGCGGCTCTGTTGGTGGCAGACACACCTAATGCTAGCATTTACAAATAGTGTTAAAAAAATAAACCCATTCTTGCCCTAGCTGGTCTGGCTCAGTGCACAGAGCATCGGCCTGAGGACCAAAGCGGTCCTGGGTTTGATTCCGGTCAAGGGCATGCACCTCAGTAGCAGGCTCCTCCCCAGCCCAGGCCCTGGCTGGGGGCGCATGCAGGAGGCAACCGATGGATGAGTTTCTCTCACATTGATGTTTCTGTCTTTCCCTCTCTCTTCACTCTCCCTAAAAATCAATGGGAAAATATCCTCAGGTGAGGATTTAAAAAAAGAAAAGATTAATTAATTAAAAAATAAACCCATTCTCCATAAGCAAATATTTCATATGTGGGAGACATTCCAAAAATGTGCCATTAAAAAGAAGAAGGGGGGGCAGTAGATTTGGGGTGCTTTTCAAAGAGAGGCATTGCAAAGGATCTGTGTGAGCAAACATGGCACCTTTCTCCACTCACTCGGATGGTTAAGTTCAGGCGTTTTCTGACTCCGTCCCATCATTTTATTGTCAGATAAGTGCGATGAGCTAAGGGACCCGGCATAGCTGTGTTGTGTCGTACCAAATGTGCTTCATACAGGAGAATACATGTTCAAATGGCTCTACTATCTAAACAACACAATTTCGTCACTGGGAAATCTTGTTCAAAGGGCTGAGAAGTGAGGGTGATGAGGTTTCCATTTATTTTTCCCGTCAGAATGGCAGTAAACACTCGGAATTCACAATGCATGATCTTGGACCACTGTGAAAGATGAATCATACTCTGGAAAATAACAAGCATCACCTAGGGTAATGTCTAAGAACGTGCTTGAACAGGAGGGCCATGCCCGCAGGCCTCTGAGAAGAGGGCAAACACACACACAGCCGGAGGAAGGCCCGCTGGTGATAACACAGGCCCCAGGGCCAGCACAGAGGCCGGCTGGACTCACGTGGCTCTGCTTGCTGTAGTAAGACAGGGCAGGAAACCGCCGTCTGCTCCGGAACTTGGAGCTCCCCAGGATGATGTGGGCGGTGGCCGACTTGGGAACGTACAGCTCGGTCGGGTAGGAGTCGCAGACCTGTCGCAGGAAGCACAGCGGACTTTTAGGCAATCTAGCCACAAAGAGTTCAAGTTCCGCCCACCAGAGGAGGCTATGGTGGGGAAACCCAAGGCCCCTGCAGAGAAATGAGGGAAGGGCTGCTGCGTCCACGGCATCAGAGCGAAGGGATGGCTCTGGAGCCCTCCCACCCCCCTTGTGCACGGCCCCTTCCAACAGCTCCCCGTGGGAGAGACAGTGACAAGGAAGCGTGTCCCTTCCGTCCAAAGGGACACACGGCAATGCTGCACCCTGGCCCGCTGAGAAACCTTAGCTGCCTGCCCTGATCGAAAGACAGCCCCACCCGGCCCTGGCCGGGTAGCTCAGTTGGTTATGGCAGCATCCCAATGCAACAGGTGGTGGGTTCAATCCCCGGTCAGGGCACATGCAAGAATCAACCAATGGGTGCATTGGTTGGAACAACAAATAGATGTTTCTCTCTTTCTCACCCTCCTCTCCTTCCCCTCTCTCTAGAATCAATCAGTCAATATAAAGAAAGATAGTATGACTGTGGGAAACGCAAGCACAAGCAGTGCTGCCCGTCTCTGTCCCAGCACACAGTGTGTGCACGCCTCCATACTCCTTTCTTCGACCTTCCCGCCTCCCATCCATTCTTCACAGGCCAACCTCATTCCATCTCCTTCGGGAATCCTCCCTCACCCCTCACCACACCCCACACCCCACACCCCCCACCCCACACCCCACACCCCACACCCCACACCCCAGCTCATGTGGACTTCTGACTCCCGGCACAATGGAGCAGTTTATTTTTGTTTCTCCTGCGCCGATTTTATAAGAACTGATTCGCTCGCTCCGTGCGGCCCTGGCAGTGATTCCCTCTGTGGACACCGGCGCCTTCAAAGGATCTTGCGATTCAGTCGGAAATCAGCGCTCTAGGACCTGGCTCTGACTTGCCGACCTCAGGACCTTGGGAAGCTCCGCTACACCGAGCGCTGTGGTTTGATCTGAGACAGAAATAGTAGCCCACGGGGCTGGTATAAGAGTGAAACCCGGTGACACCATGACAAAGGACTTCATACGCCACTGGGTCTGACTCAGTGTTAGAAGCGGCAGCGGCAGCAGCAGCCGATTTGTGGCCGGACACACTGTGCTTCCACATCAGCCAATCCCTCTCTTGGCAAAGTGACGGCGGCTCCGAGGGCAGTTCCTGGGCTTTGCCAAAGCAAGTGGCTACTTCCTGGAAGTCTTTGCCATGGAAGTCTTTCCTGGGCGTTTCAAGAAGACCCCTCAAGCCAGGATAGTGACAGTGGAAGTGCTTTATCCGCATGGCCTCAGTCCATCGTCCCCCCCACACCCCATCTTTCATGCTGGAGAGATGGGGCTGACGTGAGATCTGAGCCTGGGAAGCTCACACCCTGCTCCCCGGTGGCCCTTCCCTCGCCTGCCTGCACGGCCTCTGTCACCAGACTGGAGAGCAACAAGCGGCAGGAGGGAAAGAAAGGGGCCCTACATGTAATGTCAGCATCCTGTCAAAGACATTTTAGGGACGATCACCAGCCAGGAACGTGGGCTTTGGTACAGATGCTCTGGAGGAAAATCCGCTCCTACAACATGGGGCCCAGCCCACAAGGACCCGGGAGCTTTTCCTGGAATCACAGCCACAGACACTGGGCTTCCTTCCCCGCGTCTGACCTCCCTTAGTCAGTGAGCAAGGACATTACCACACAGACCACACCTGCTTGTCTGCGGTTCAGGAGACATGCAGTCATTTCATCCGGCCAGTAACATTTTCTTAAAATAACAGTTTTAGAAGGGAAATGGGTATGTTTTCAGTAAGTTGGGGATTACCTACTTTCTTCTTCTAACAACCCCATGGAATTGCAAAGTTATGTATGATTAAACTAGAGGCCCAGTGCACGAATTTGTGCATGGGTGGGGTCTGGCAGGCTTGCCCTTATTGGGGTCCATAGGGCAGGCAGGCCGGGGGGAGTGGACATAGGTGGTTGGCTGGCTGCCCCACTCCTGAATGGGACGGGGGTGGGCTGATCGGGGGTGATTAGAGGGAGGGCCAGCTGGGGGTAGGGGCTGCAAGCAGTTGGCCAGCCAGCCCTATCTCCTGGTTAAACTCCCGATTGAGGGGACAACTTGCATATTAGCCTTTTATTATATAGGGTGAATTAAGAATAAGGAAGTAATGGCTGAGATGCCTTAGCAGGCTTATTACATATAGCCTTTCTTTTCTTTTTTTGTTAAACCTCACCTAAGGATTTTTTTTTTACATTGTTTTTTTTTTTTTTTTTTTTTAGAAAGAGTGAAAGGGAGAGACACACAGAGAAAGACAGAGAGAGAAAGAGAGAGAGAGAAAAAAATTGATGTGACGGAGATACATTGACTTGTTGCCTCCTGCCTGTGCCCCGATTGGGAGCAGGAAGCAAACCCACAACCCTGGTACATGTTGCAGACAAGGAATTAACCCGTGACCCTCTGGTGCACAGGCTGAGGCCCTAACCCCTGACTCACATCTGCTAGGGCTACATACAGCCTTTCTAAGGAGCAAGAGGTGAGCTAGGAACTCGGGCGCTTCTGCCAGGTCCTCTGATGGCCTCCCAAGGTCAAAAGAGACCCACCTTGGCCCAGGTCATGGCCCTGATGTGGACCATAATTGGGACAGCACCCAGAGAGAAGGCAGACACCCAGAGCTCACGCTCCTAGATGCTCAGCCCCGCCCTACTCAGGGACCCGGCTATTGTCTAACCACTCAGGGTCCTCTCTCTCCACGAGGAGAAGACTCTCCTGCCTCTCCTGGTCCCTGGGCTCTCTCTCCACCGAGCAGGAAAGGCAGGCCTTTGTGGCTGGCAGATGCAAGGCCTGGGAGCTCACCACCCCGAGCCCAGACAATAGTGGTCAGGCTTGTACCAGCCTCAAGGCCACCCCTCCAGAAGCACAGCAATGCCAGTCACGGGGCCTCCTGCTCTCCCGTGGGCTCTCAGGGGAGAGACTCCGAGGGTCAGAGCTGGAGTGGGGGCATTCTGATGAGCACTTGCATGAAAAGCTCTAACTAAGCGAAAGCACCTTTGGAAAAGAGTCAGGCTCACAATGCCCAGTAACTCGGGTTTCAAGGCACAACTATTTAACCAAGCTGGAAAAAGTAAATTCATCCCGCCTTCACGAGAGTCAACAGCACTTCCAGCTGGAAATTAAAACAAGCCGAGGTAGCACCGGCTGCTGCCATTTTTGCAACAGGCTCACGCGGTTACAGGCCAAATCCTGACAACGAATGATGCACAGCACAGTGTCTGCCACACAAATCCTGAAATCCACTCATGGCCATTCCCAAAATATTGCCTGGTTTGGAAAATCACATACAAACATTCAGAGAGAGTATGAGAAGCCCAGAAAAGTAGCAAGTGCTTCCCGCCCCCCCTTTTCATTGAATATTGGGGTGGCACTGGTTAACAAAATTACACCGATTTCAGGTGCACAGTCCTGTACCACATCATCTCCATACCGTACTGTGTGCTCACCACCACAAGCTCTTCTGTGGAATGTTCTTTATACTGATTGCCACAGCCAATGGAAGTAGATTGGGTTAAAATGCTTTCTGCATCATCTTTTATTAATAAGGAAACAATTTTCTTTGACCTCCACTAAATGAATTAGCCTGCCTGCAGTGCCTGCGTGTCTGGGCTGGCCTTGCCAAGAGGAATCGTTTTGGGAATTCTTTCACTCACCAGACAAGTGTTACTGAACACTTACTACCACTTAGGCATTCTGTTAGGTGCTGGGGCAGTAAAAAAGACAAAAGAGTTGTTGACTTCAAGGCCTGATCTTTGTTGGCTGGATTACAATCTCCCAGTGAATGTATTCTGAATTGTAAGATAGGATCCAATTGAGGGGCCATTCCAGGCATCTTACTCAGATCTCTGTATTTCCTGAGGACGAGTCACTCCACTGAGCACTTTGAAGTAAGAGTTGGTTGTCAAGAACTGAGATATATCTACATAGATAACTTTCCTTTTCAACACTTAGGACCTAACATTTATTTCAAGGAATTTATGATGTCATGGGGAGAAGAAGAATATGAGCAGCATAAAATGATTTATATATAAATCAAAACAATACATGAAACGTAGCTATGGAGAACAAATTTTTTAAAAAAAATTACTGGGTTGGATTATACTTTAAATTCTATTCCAAGATAGATAGATTAAAAATTTAGCCTAGCAATGAATGTCAATTATGTTATATAATAAAAGATAATTTCAGGAGCTGGGTACAAAAGAAAATCTTACTTTAGAGGGTTAGACTACCGTGCACCGTGTCTTATCAATAGGGATAATAGTGATGATGACAGAGACGATGATGACAATAATAGTAAATAGCCTGCCCAAGAGCGGTGAACAGAAAATGGCAGAACTGTCTTTGTCCTCTCTGGGTGGGGCCATTCCCACCTGGACAATAGCTTTCTCTCCATCAGACAGCACCTCCAGCTCCACTGACCTCAAAGAATTTGTGAGAGGAAATAACTCATGTAAAGGAAGGAAGAAAAATTAAACATCAACTCAACCATGAGGTTAAAAACCAAAGTACCAGATGAAGACACAACCTTCTCAATGCAGTATTCATCACAAAATTTTTGAAAGAACCAACTTTTTTTTTTTTTTTTTTAATATTTCTAGATTGGTAATAAATACGGGTGCATCATCTTTCCCCCTATTTCAATGATATTTGTAAAATCAGAAAATTCCCTGGGTTTTCACCTTTTCTGTTTCAACACAGTCGGCGTATTGTTAGTATTGGTTTGCTGCGTGTTACTTTTGAAAAGCAATGCTGAGGGACTCATGTTTTGCAGCCTCTACCGGGCAGGACTTTAAGTGACTAAATCTGAGTCATGTTGGTGGTGTGAATTCCAGATGAAAATCTCATTAAAAATAGGAAGAACCCGGTTCCCAAGAAAATATTATGCCACAAAATTTTCTTCCTGACCCAAGGGTGTGTCCTGTTAAAACTTTTTCTTTGCTAACCTTGGGTTTTCCTTCCTTTCGTTTCCAGGCTGACCATCCACTGCAGCAGCTGGCTTCAGTGTGAAAACCGGCTATCTGGTCCCATTGGCCAGATACTTTATAATGACTGAGACAAATGGCTACTTGCAGTGTAAGGTTATGGGTGTTAGATTTATGTGACATTATGAAGAAAATTCAGTATCATGAAATTATCCATCCTATCCCAACTAACCTATGAATTTGAGATGCTCAGAAGAGCAACATCCAAGGGTCTGGCCTGTAGGAAATCCAGATTTATTACAAAGCTACAACAACAATCTATACTAATAAAAGGATAATATGCTAATTAGACTGAATATCTTCCGGACGACCTTCTGGATGTCCTTCCTGATATGCTTCCCGATAAAGCCATGCTGACAGGGCCAAGGCAGAGGAGATTAGAGGCAATTAAGACCAGCAGGGGAGAGGAGTTAGGGCAAACAGGCAGGCAGAGAGAGGAGTTGGGGCAAACAGGCAGGCAGAGAGAGGAGTTAGGGCAAACAGGCAGGCAGGGGAGAACAGGCTTGCAGGCAGGTGAGCAGTTAGGAGCCAGAGGTCCTGAAGGGACCCAGATTTGGAGAGAGTGCAGGCTGAGTTGAGGGGACCCCCTTCCTGTGCACGAATTTCATGCACTGGGCTTCTAGTAATTAATAAAATGTAATTACTGAAATTGTACAGTGTCAAACTGTGCTGTTAGTAAAAAGACCTGAAATATTGGGGGGGGGGAAAACACAATATACTTATACATGAACTAAATTTGGAAAGATTGACAACTCAAAACTTCTGAGGATCAAAGGATACCTGGGGAACAAACGGCACAGAAATACCTTCTGAGAGGAGATCATTGCAACAGCCATACATGATAACAGAATACATAAAAAAATTTCTACAAATCAACAAGGAAAGGACAACCTGAGAGGGGGAAACAAGGACCAAAAATATGAATATGAATTCACAGAAGAGCCAACTTGAACCGTCAATAAACACCAGCTCAGACTTGCTAGTGAGGAAGGGGATGGAAATAAAATCACACTGAGACCCATTTCACGCCAATCAGACTGGCATTTGTTCAAATTTAACAGTATGATTAGTTAATAAATTCACATGGCTGTAGAAATGAGTAATTTAAATATCTAATAATTTAAGTATACTATGGTGCATTCATTTGATAAAATGTTATATGATCATTTAACTGACTGATACACATCCTGTGTAGCAATACAGAAAATCCTTATAAAAGGATGAAGAAAATACTCAAAATTCAAAATATGTAACCAGAAATGTTGTCAATTAACAGGAGATGAGCTATAAATGGTCAGTTAGCACATACAAAGCATGCATATGAAATTAAAATGAGCTGAAACCGGTTTGGCTCAGTGGATAGAGCATTGGCCTGTGGACTGAAAGGTCCCAGGTTCGATTCCAGTCAAGGGCATGTACCTTAGTTGTGGGCACATCCCCAGTAAGAGGCAGCTGATCGATGATTCTCTCTCATCGATGTTTCTAATTCTCTATCCCTCTCTCTTCCTCTCTGTAAAAAATCAATAAAATATATATTTTAAAAGAGAGAGAGAGAATTCACCTGCCTCACTATCAAGTTGTCCAATGATTTTTAAAGGAATAAACTCTTTACTGGTGAGGGTACCAAGAACCAAGCATTCTCATACACAACTCCTGGGAATTTACAGAAACTGCCACAACTTTCCTGTAGTTCTGGTGACAATACGTCCAAAGTCTTGTGCAAACCTTTGGACCTAGAAATTCCACTGATAGGAAGCTTTCTTTAAAAATAGTATTTTCCATGTGGCAAAGGCATAGTTCTCAGAATATTCTCACTATGTTATTTAAAATAGTGGTAAATAACAAAATTAAAATGTCTAAAATTGGAACTAGGTAGACCAACTATGATATAGACCTATGATGTAATAGTATATAATGTTTTAAACAATGTAAAATATATTTACTGGCCGAAAAAATACTCACATTCTGCCATGTGAAGAAAGGCAGAATACACATAGTATGGTTTCATGTTTGTTATAGGTATTTAAGTGGTTCCTTTCAGCTGCGTTTTCCAATTTTAAACAATGAAATACATTCCTTATATAAAACAGTTATTAAACTATGCAGATGAGAAAAACATCTGAAGGAAAATGTTAGATCTTAACAGAAGGGTGTTAGGGAAAATGGGGTGGTGGGTGTGTATTCCCCCCCCCCCTTTTTTTGTAAATTCTCTGCCATGTTCTTACATTACTTTTATTACTTAAAATATTTTTTTGAATGAATAGGAACAACAGTGTGGTGATGGTGAGGGTAGGGGAAGAGATGGAAAAGGGCATGGAGGGGATAAATGGTGATGGAAAAAAAAATCTATCTATACTAATAAAAGGGTAGTATGCAAATTGGTCAGGACGCCTTCACTGTAATGACCAAACAGCAGGCTGTGAGGGACTACAAGGCCAGCAGGAGGGTGAGGGATGACCAAATGACTGAACAGCGGGCTGCATGGGGCAACCAGGCTGGCAGGGGGAGCAGTGAGGGGCAAGCAGGCCAGCAGAGAGGGGCAGTGAAAGGTTATCAGGCCAACAGGGGGGCAGTTAGGGGTGACTAGGCTGGTGGGGGGAAGGGACATGAGGGGCGACCAGGCCAGCGGGGGTGGGGGGAAGTTGGTGGCAGCCAGGTTGGCAGGGGGGGCAGTTGGGGGTGGCCAGGCTGGCAGGGGGGACCATGAGGACTGACCAAGCCAACAAGGGGGGGTAGTCTGGGGCGATCAGGCTGGCAGGCAGAGGTATTTAGGGGTGATCTGGCTGGCAGGAAGGGCAGTTAGGGGTGATTAGGCAGGCAGGTGAGCAGTTAGGAGCCAGCGGTCCCAGATTGTGAGAGGGATGTCCGACTGCTGGGGCAGTTGGCAGCAACCAGGCCGGTGGGGAGGCAGGGGCAGTGAGGGGCGATCAGGCCGGTAGCGGGTGGCAGTGGGACAACTGGCAGTCAGACATCTCCCGAGTAGTCTCGGATTGGAGAGGGTGCAGGCTGGGCTGAGGGGACCGCCCCTCCCCTCCACTCCCTGTGCACAAATTTCATGCACGGGGCCTCTAGTAAAATAACAATAAAAATAAAAATGAGTGGAGAAACTGACGCTGATCCCTAAGCCCACCATCGAGAAGAGTATGGGATTGGTCTGCCCCTCCTGCTTCCCTTCCTCCCCATTCTCCTTTCTGAGAGTGGAGACACATTTCTCCACATCTCTCCAGGGAAGCCTCCTGGGGACCTTGTGTACCAATCACGAGCTCAGCGAGTACAGAGCAGAGCTGGTGCCAAACTGCCATCGGCGTCGCCGTGGCCGCCCCACTCATCACTCACTGCGCTATAAAAAGACTCGGTGGGAGGCGAGGTCCTGGCTGGCGCTCCCACCACAGGCTGGGCCAGGGGCTCCACCATGGGGCCTGTCGGGGTTCCCGTCCCCTCAACCGTTAGAGGAAGGGTGTGGAGGGGATGGTCCCTGTGGTTTCCTCAGGCAGACTTTCCGGTTCTAGGAACGGGTAGGACATTCACCCAGCAAGCACCAAGAGAGACTCAGACAGCCACACGCTCGCATCCATAAAGAGCGATGGAAACGGAAGGAGGGCGAGCAGGAGTGTGCCATCTGTGTGCCATCAGGACTGCATTTGGAGGGAGGATCCGCTGTCACCAAACACCCGCCTCCACTTACCCGGTAGTCTCTGTTCACGTCGCTGAGCTGCCAGTGCTCGCCCGGGAGGCCCATGCGCCTGTACTCCTCACTGAGGTCCAGCAGCAGCCAGCCTCGCTCCCTTTCTTCCTTATCCAGCTTGGGGTTGAACGAAAAGCAGTATAACTCCTCGTATTTCACTGCAAGGAAAGGAGAATAACGCCCGATCAAGCTCAGTCCCTGCCAGAACGGAAGCTCTTCAAAGCATCTCTGTCCGGGGGGAGCACACGGACAGGCCAGCCCAGCCCTCGCCCCTGGGAACCCAGCGGGGCCCTGTCCCGTGGGCAGGGCCTCCCACTCCCTCCAAGCAAAGGTTTCTTTCATTTTAGAAACAAAATCTTCTCCATTTTGTGTTTTCTTTTCTTTTTTAAAAAAAATATACTTTTATTGCTTTCAGAGAGGAAGGGGAAGGGAGAGAGAGATAGAAACATCAACGATCAGAGAGCATCATTGATTGGCTGCCTCTTGCACTGGGGATGGAGCCCACAACCCAGGCATATGCCCTGACTGGGAATCGAAACCATGACCTCCTGGTTCATAGTTCGATGCTCAACCACTGAGCCACAATGGCGGCTACCATACTGGACAGTAGAGATCTAAGTTTTTTTTTTTTTTTTTTTGGCGCTTTTGAAAGAAATTATATTTTCTGGACCACATAAAATATAAAGCATAGATATTAATTAAGTACAGCTGCATTCATTAGAGGTCAAGGTTATGTCTACTGAGCTTGGATTTGGGAGGGCCTCTGGGAGATGGGCCGGTGCCCAGGCTGCTGCCACATTTTGATGCTCTTTGGTATTAAAAAAGAAAGCATTTGGGAAAGCTGCAGGATATATTTATATGTTTGCACTGAAAACATCTGGGCTTTTTACGACCACATAAATGTCATGATTGTACTACTCGGACAATATTTATAGGATCCCTAAAAAAATACCAACTCAGAGGGCACGGCACCCTGGTCAAGAGAGGGCAAGTTGAGGAACATGTAATGAAGCTCTTCTTTCGGTTCTGCCAGGATATCTTTGCCTTGTATGCCTCTGAGGCCAGACCCGTTCCCCTCCCCCCCCCCCCCCCCCCATAATAGCTAGGATTTGGTTTGTGGGCTCTGCTTTTCTCTGCGGGCACATCGAGGTCCAACAGAAACCTAAACAAGCCGTGTGCGTTCTGGTCAGTGTCCTTGTAGTTGTGTGAAAAAGCTGAAAGGAAACAATGACATTCATTTTACTAACGTAATTTATTTAACCCAATATATCTAAAATAGTGCCATTTCAACATGGACATATTATAAAATGTATTCATTGATATATTTTGGGTTGTACTGTCTTTGTTTGTTTTGTTTGTTTGTTTGTTTGTGGTTGGTTTTTTTTTTTTTGCATATAATCTCTTTATTATTTAGGATACTCTTGTGTCCTCTGAAATAAACTAATGTGCATACATTACTCCAGGGAACAAATGGAAACAGATCACATGAGCTCCATCCTGCAGGGCACTGAATGCCAAGGAAACTCACTTTAGCTATGGAAGCTCCTATTGTCTATTGGGTGGGCTTCCTGCACACTCCCACAGTGGGCAGAGACATCTGTCACAGGGAAGGACCAGTTAGGGTAAGATGGGGAGAGGAAGAGATAAGACATTGGACTCAGGGCAAATGTGAAGCATCTCGTGAGGCCCTTGTCTCACATCTCCAGAATCTCACTTGCCAGTGCCCCTTGGGCAGGAAGTCACACTGGCAGCCCAGCATCTTGATAAGCCTCTCTTGGACATCAGGTTCCAGTCCTGCTTCTGCAGACACCTCCTATCCGGGGTAAGAGAGCATTCTCTGGTGTTCAGCACTCCCTGGAAAGCTTGTCTTTTTCTACTCACCACCTTCAACCAGAAGATGGTGCTCAGGTAAGAGTCAGCTCAGAACTATCTTCTCTAAAAGGCAATTTTGTTTTCTCTCTCTTAGTCCACATGGTCATGAATGCATCTTGGGGTGTAGCGTGTAAGGAGCCATGAGCACCCATGAAGAAGAGTCCAGAGACAAGAAGCTCCCTCAGGGAAGCTTTGGGTGCTGGTAACTTAGGCTGTGAGAACCCAGGGCCTATGTGCTTCAGATACATGGTTTTCAAACCTGAATTGATGTTAGTAACCTCAGATTTCACACATTACCTTGCTACTCGATGAGTTTGTTTGCTATATGTAGGTACCTTTCCTGTACCAGCCAAAAACACAAGGCTACGAACAAGTAAGATAGTTGAAGAGAATTGAATAAAAAGAATGTGTAGAAAGGATGAGCAAGATGAGACACCTAAAGATTAGTCATAATAGGGAGCTATTGCCCTTGGGCATCATGAAGTGTAAAAGGTTAGTTAAGTTTCCAGAATACAGGGAGGGCTATGGCTGTAACAGTGGTCTTCACTATGACCCAAAGAAAGGCCCAGAGCCAGGCCTATCCCCTTAGGTAGAGTAACACCACCATGGCAAGCTCACAGCCTGACAGCAGAGAGGCAGAGAGTTAACCCTCCTCCTGCCCTCCAATCAGCTGTCAGGGTCACTTTTCCTGAAAGAAATCAGGAGGCAGAGGGAAAGGGTGCGCAGTGGTGAGGCAAAGACATGTGTCCTCCTAGGATGCAGCAGAGGATAGAGAGGCTGAAAAATGGAATTTGACATCAAATAAAGAGAATCCATTTTTCTTCATTGGTCCTTTTTCCCAAGGACTTTTTCTTTCTCGCTGTGATTAGATCAACTTGTTCTTACATCTTATTTATCTGAAATGTTGGCACCCCCCCCCCCCTCCTGGGTATCACATCTTAGAAATACTATCTCTCATCATAACTGCCTTGAGGATGGAATGTACGTTATTTTTCAGGGTGGTGGTAGACAAATATTTTTAAGAATTTTAATTTGTGATCTCTGGAATCTCCATTCGCCACAGACGGGGTGGCCATGAGGGTCAGTGGTCACAGAGCAGGTGCTGAAGTCTTGTTTTGTTTCCAGGCCCACAACGGCAGCATTTCTGAGCATGGATATGACTGTCCCAGCCTGGGAGACCGAGCTCACAACCTATGGCAGTGATCAGGCCTTTTACCAATATTATACAGGGGAAATAATCCTGCAAGTACTGATAGCCACCGTGGCCCTGGTGGGGCTGGCAGGGAACGCCGAGGTGATCTGGCTCCTGGGCTTCCGCATGCGCAGGAATGCCTTCTCTGTCTACATCCTCAACCTGGCGGGGGCCGACTCCCTCTTCCTCTGCTGCCATATTATATCTTTGTTAGATTCAATTTTCAACTTAGATTTTGTCTTTGGAGCAATGAGCAGATTTCTCCTGCTTGTGGAAGTGTTTGCCTACATCTCAGGCCTGAGTTTTCTCAGCGCCATCAGCATGGAGCGCTGCATGTCTGTCCTGTGGCCCATCTGGTACCGCTGCCGCCGCCCTACGCACATGTCCGCTATCATGTGTGCCCTGCTCTGGGCCCTGTGCCTGCTGCTGAGCACGCTGGAAGGGTACTACTGTAGCCCCCTGTCTTGGGGTGTGGATCAATTTTGGTGTCCATTGTTGGATTTCCTCACTGTGGCATGGCTGATTTTGTTATTTGTGCTTCTCTCTGGGTCCAGCCTGGCTCTGATGACCAGATTGTTGTGTGGCTCCCAAAGGGTGCCGCCCACCAGGCTCTACATGACTGTTGTGATCACGGTACTGGTCTTCCTCTTCTGTGGCCTGCCCTTTGGCATCCTGTGGTTCCTCATATCCTGGGTTCTATCTATTTTCTCCTTATATCTTCCCATGACTGTAGCACTCCTGTCCTGCATCAACAGCTGTGCCAACCCCATCATTTACTTCTTCGTTGGCTCCTTCAGGCAGCGATGGCGGAAGCAGAGACACACTCTGAGGCTGGTTCTCCAGAGGGCTCTGCAGGACACACCTGAAGAGGATGAACCTGGAGAAAGCCTTCCTGGGGAAGCCCTGGAAATGTCGGGGAGCAATCTGGGGCAGTGATGAAGAGCCTCTGTCCTGATCTGTCTGGAGTAACTTTCAGACTCACTGCTGCCCTGCTAGGCTTGGAAAGTTTCTAGTCTTCTCTCAGCCTCAGCCTCAGAATGCTTCAGTGATTCCCCAATCTCCTCAAATAGGTTGTTTTTTATCTGGTCATTCAAGTTTTTCTCAGAGAAAGCATTATATCTCTCCATCATTCTTCACATTATCAATAAATTTCTCATGTGATCTGAATTTCTTTATTGAATGCTTTTTCTTTACAATCTTCATTACAGCAAAAAGAATCCCTGTCCAAATCAGACAAGTCCAGGCCAGAAGCCCTGGTTCTACAGCTCTCCTCTCCAAGCCTCAGCTAACTCACTATAAAATGCTGTGAAATTATCTACTCATAGGATCATAGTGGGGAATAAATTAGAAAACAAATGAAAAGGACTTTGCCAGGTGCCAAATATGACAAATATTTCATAAACATCAACAGTTAATACATGTGAAGCCTCTAATATATTATTGACTTATGAGATAATATTTAATAAGTTAAAACAAAAGAATTCTTGTCCTAAACCATAGATAGTCATTTAAAAACTAGAGGCCCAGTGCACAAAATTTGTGCATGGTGTGTGTGTGTGTGTGTGTGTGTGTGTGTGTGTGTGAGTGTGTGTGTGTGTCCATCAGCCCAGTTTGCACCCTTTCTAATCTGGGACCCCTCGAGAAATGTCCTACTACCCGCCAAGGCCCGATTGGGCCTAAATAGGCAGTGGGACATCCCTCTCACAATCCAGGACTGCGGCTCCCAACTGCTCACCTGCCTCCTGCCTTATTGCCCCTAACTACTTCTGCCTGCCAACCTGATCACTTCTTAGCCACTCCCCTACCAGCCTGATAAATACCTAACTGCTCCCCTGTTGGCCTGATTGTCCTGTCCTCCCCTGCAGGACTAGTTTCCCACAACTGCCCTTCTCTGCTGGCCTAGACACCCTTAATTTCCCTCCCTTGCCAGCCTGGTGCCCCTTACTGCCTTCCCCTGCCAACCTGTTCAACCACAACCCTTCCCTGCAGGCCTAGTCACTCTCAACTACCCTCCCTGAAGGCCTGGTCACCCCTAACGGCCCTCCCCTGCTGACCGGGTTGCCACCAACTTCCTTCCCATGTAGGCATGGTTCC